CCTAAAGGCAGCACTAACTTGCCAACTATGTGAGTGAACCACCTTTGAAACAGATCCTCCAGCCTCAGATGACTGTAGTCTGAGCTGATTTGATCGGTCTCAAGGGAGACTGAGCTAGAATTGCCCAGCCAGTATGCTTCCAAATCACTGACCAGGGAACTGAGAAAGGATAGATGCCTATTACGGTGCAAATGGTTAATGCAGTCGGCAGCTAACTGAAAGACTGGCGGTTTGATTCTACCCAGAAGTGCCTTGGAAGAAAGGTCCTAGCACTCTCGCTCTACTTTTGAAAAATCAGTCATTGAAAACCCTATGGAGCATAGTTCTACTCTGCACACAGTCACCACAAATCGGAATCCACTTGATGGCAACTGGTTTTCATTATTGTTCTAAGCCACTACGTTTTGGTTTCTTACATAGCCTGAGATAATACAATCTTCATGACCCTCCAGCCAGTACACAATTCTCCTTATTCTGCCTCATCTTTTCCTGTCTTTTTTATACCTTGTCTCTGCTCCCAAAACAGAGTCCCAAAACCCTTTGTTCCGATTTTTCTCTTCTGGGATGTCTCCTTTTCTTCCATACCCATTGCTGTCGAATCGATTCTGACTCATAGTGACCATATAGGACAGAGTAGAACTGCCCCATATGGTTTCCAGGGCTGTAATCTTTACAGAAGCAGACTGCCACATCTTTCTCCCACAGAATGGTTGATGGGTTCGAACCGCTGACCTTTGGTTAGCAGCCAAGTGCTTAATCACTACGCCACCAGGGCTCCTTTTTCTTCCATCGCACTAATCTTACTAATCCTTCAGTTAAGCTCATTCTCCATCTCCAGGAAGCCTTTCTTGACTACAACACTTTGACAGTCTTTTCTTCAGTAGCTCATAGTTGGTACCACAAAAGTATGTTATTTACTGCCCTTTATCATTTATTATGAGGAACTCCAGTGGCACAGTGGTTAAGCTAACAGGAAGGTCTTAACAGGAAGCTATCAACAGGAAGGTCGGCGGTTCCAACCCACCAGTGGCTCCAAGGGAGAAAAGACCTGGCGATATGCTGTCATAAAGATTACAGCCTAGGAAACCCTATGGGGCAGTTCTACTCTGTCCTGTAGGGTTGCTATGAGTAGGAATTCACTCTATGGCACACAGTAACATCGTTTATTATCTCACTTGTATTAATTTCTAAGACAAAGATGATGTAATAGATTTCTTTAGTATTCCTCACAGCAGATAGCATAGTACTACACATGTAGCAGCCACTCTAGTTAAATGACTTAATTTTTAATAGGTCACCATCCATTAGAATCAAAATCTTTCTTCTCCTCAGTCTGAATTCCAAAGTTACTGCTTTGTCTGAGGATTGAAATAAGCAACTTTCAAATTTATTGTTTTTTATGAAGTTGACCAGAAAGTATTTTAGAGGCATATAAGGTAATATATTTTACATACAAAAGGAAAATCTAAGCAGGGATTGCTAAATGAATGTATTAAGGTCATAGCATGTGACAGTGTTAAGACTACAACCCAAGTGTTGCAAATGAAATTCTGTTTTTACTAGGATCCTGATGCCCCACTCAACAAAATCCAGTATTTCTGTTCCTCTCAGCATACTGTTTTTCCCAGTGGAGATGCCAATTTAATGGCTCCTGGAACACAAAAAGTTATGGTCAACAGAAGTGGCAATATACTTCCCTGCCAGAAAACAGCTTCAGAAACACATCAAGACTTTAATTTTAGAAATGCAATTATTGTTGGAGTAAACACTGCCCATACAATTGCAAATTAAACTTTAAAAACATTGTTTGGTATATATAAAAGACATTCAAATTAATTAATTAATACCACATCTCAGAATGTGGGTTTTTGGATTTATTTTCTATACCACAATACTCTGCACAAGGAGTCCTGGTGGTGCAATGGTTAAGTGCTGGCTGCTAACCGAAAGGTCAGGTGGTTAGAATCCACCAGCCCCTCTGTGGGAGAAAAGATCTGTCGATCTGCTCCTGTAAAGATTCAGCCTAGGAAACCCTATCGGGCAGTTCTACTTTGTTCTATAGGGTCGCTCCGAGTTGTGATCTACTCGACGGCACACAACAGCATATTCTGTTCACATGAGGTCACCATGAGTCAGAATCGACATGTCCGGTTCTGCACCACATAGACCACAAAATTAGAAACTCAACTGAGCCTAGCTTTAATCATCAACAATAACCACGAGTAATAAAATTCTAATGAAGTTTATAAGCACATTTGAAAAATTAATTTTCTATAGGTGTTGTCATGGATTGAATTGTGTCCCCCAGAAATATCTCAACTTGGCTGGGTCATGATTCCCAGTATCGTACCATTTTGTAATCTGATGTGATTTCATATGTGTTGTAAATTCAATCACTATGAGCTAATAAGATGGATTAGCGGCAGTTATACTGATGAGGTATACAAGGTGGGATAGTGTCTTAAGCCAATCTCTTTTGAGATATAAAAGAGAGACGCGAACAGAGACACATAGGAACCTCATACTACCAAGAAAGCAGTGCCGGGAGCAGAGTGCGTTCTTTGGACCCGAGGTTCCTGTGCAGAGAAGCTCCCAGACCAACGGAAGACTGATGCATCACAAGCACCTTCCTCTAGAGCCAAGAGGGAAATCTTTCTCCTGGAACTGATCCCCTGAATTTGGACTTGTAGCCTACTAGACTGTGAGAGAATAAATCTCTTTGTTGAAGCTATCCACTTGTGGTATTTCTGTTATAGCAGCACTAGATGACTAAGACAGGTTTTCATTTTATTAAAAAAATAGTTTTGTGTAACATTAAAATAGGGCAACTAAAGGGGACTGTTACCCAATCACAACAGCAAAATGCCTCCCATCACTAACACAGCTGTTCAGTGTGCAACAGCGCACATCCACAGAATTGACAAAATTCTGTGAAATAGTTATTCATGAATACACTAACAAAACTGCAATTTAAAGTGGTTCTGTATCAGAGAAGGTAGTTTGTGTGTTTTCTCCACAAAGAAGTTTTATGCAAATGCCCACAAATTTCACCATTTACAAGGTGACAGAAAGACAGGTAAGGGGACAATGACTTCGAAGAAGATAACCTCAGCCTCCTTAAACTTCCCAAATACGATTCAATGAAAGAGTTGCAAAATGCTGGGCTGAGTGTGCCAAAAGACTGACTTAGGGCAATTCTTGAGGTTTTATGAAATACTGGAGATGTTCGAAAATTCTCATTGAAATGAAAAAGCCCAGTTAATAAATAGGGTCATTTCCTAGGTCATGTTTTATGTAGAAAGCATATTTTCTGATGGAAAACATTGCACACAGGCCCTTATTTGTCATTTTACCCCCCGACACAGGGTAGTACTGGCTAGCAGAGGAACAACATGGGCATATGCATATAACAACAGTCTCCTAGTTAGAGCACAACTGTCATGTGACAGCATGATTTAGTAAGACTTTTGTTGCGGAAAACAAGTGACCCTATAGAAATAGGACTGGAAAGTACAGTTAATGACAGAATTAGGTTTTTGGTCCAGAAAAACTCTAAGGAAGGGTTGAAAATATAAATTTATATGTTCTCACTACTAGACAATCTCGGTATCCAAATGGTCTACTTAAGCTCTGGAAGCCAAACTGTTTGAAAAGTTTTATTTGGTAGCAGAAAACATCTACAACTGGATCTTTACAAAAGAACTTGTGCAAGAGAGGAGAAATACATTTATACATAAGATTTTGCTGTTGGAATTTGGGATAATTATCAACCATGGATTTAGCTTACAAGAAGGCACACAAAATCGTTATGTGTAATTATGTAAAGGAAGCAGAAGCTACACTTATCCCATGTCTAATTAGTTTGTTACAACTCATGTTAGAAACTACGCTGAACTTAATGAAAGACAACTGTATGGACTAGAAGACTAAGTTATTTCAAACTGTAGTGATATATAGACACATTCAGACGGGCTAAAAACAATTATCTCAAAAACCATGACTACTGATTTCTCATCATATCAACTCTATGACGTCTACAACATTCATTTACCTCATGGTTTTTCACCTCCTAGCTGTCATTTTCAAAATTATATACAAATTTACATATATTAGACATTATTGACAGTAATTGTTACGTTAGGACATAAGTCTCTGTGTAACCACTTAGACATATGTACAGTCTCTGTCACTGGCCTGATAGCATATCTGACAATGGAGAGCAGATCTACTAGACTGACCCAGACAAGATAGGAAGGATCAGCCCACTTTGTTTCTGAAAGTCTAAAGGCTTTGTATTCATTCAAAATACAAATACCAATACCTTCAAGAGGCCAAAATCAACAGGCACTAAATGTGTTTGGGAACACCCAAGAACTGCGATCAGTGTCTGGTGTAATGTACAGGCATAAAGTAGTTAACATTTTAATATAAAAACACTGTTTTCCCTGAAGGGGGGAAGCAGACAACATCTCACTAGTAAAAAAGAAAAACAAACACTGGTATTCAATTTCCAGTTTAAATACATTTATGAACATTGTGACCCCCCCCACTAATTAAATATCGAGTCCAGAACAAATTATGACTTAAATATACAACAGTATTTCTATATCAAATTTAGTCTACGATTAAATGTTATATATGCACGTAGATATAAATATTTGTATATTTATATCTATATATATACTCATAGTACCTTAATGGGATTCTCTAAAATGCTCACAGTAGATAATATGGTATTAAGAAAAACAAAGATATAAATTTATAAACTAGAGTATAGATAAAAACATCTTTTACAGCTTACTTCTGTGATACCTTCCATGGGTTAAAATAGCTTAAGTTCTTCAAGTCCGAATTTTGATTTCTGAAAGCAGAAATGTGCTTTGGTATTCAAACCTTCATACAAGTTTAGTTTTTCAAATTAAGGAATAAAAACATAGAGAACATCAAACATGTGGGGGGAGAAAAGCAAAAAAAAAAAAAAAAACTTCTAATCTGGGACTTCGTAACTGTCACTTGATTAACCAGTGGTTTTCAAGAGAACCCTGCTTGAAACCTAGCTTCTTGGAGGTGAGTTAGGGGTATTAAAAGGATTTGATCTAATTTTGCTTTTATAAGTGTATCTTTTAAAAACTTAATGCATATTTAATGATTTACATACCCTTATTATAGGGTCGCTGTGAGTCAGAATTGACGGAACCTAACAACAACATTTCACCATACTGGAGACTCCTGGTGATAACTCCCACTACCACCAGGATAACTTGTTTTTGTATAGGCCTTGGTGTACAACTGCAGCTATCTTTATATAAAGACTCTCCTGAGATGTGTGTTTAAAACCTGTTACTATCTGCACTAACTTATATTTGTGCCAATCAGACTTTCCTTGAAACCATGGAAATAAAACAAGGTACAGAAGTAAACTGGCTGCTGAGGTTTCATCAACTATAATCCCAATTTCACTTTTATGTTATTGAGAAATCTTAATATTCTTAGTAATGGATTAAGTAAACATTATAAATGTGAACTCAAAATTCATACATACTGATAAAATGGACTTTGCAGGCTTTATGTACTCAGGTTACACATAAAATTTTATTAAAAGAAGATTCTACTGCTAAAAAAAAGTTTGGAAAATAATGCTGTATAAGAAACTGCCGTTTAATAATACAATATTTAATGTGATTTAGTTTTCTAAAAGAAACCACCTTTCTAATACTCTTCAATTCCTGAATTATGTTGTATAATGAGACAATTTCTACAAATCGGAGTGTTGCAGCTCTTCATAAAAAAGTAACTTGTAAAAAATTAAGGAGAAATTACACTAAAAATATTCACAATTGTTTTAGTCTCTTTCAATATACAGCTTTCAACCATGATTTTTATTTTTTAATTATTCATATATTTATTGTTGGGTTTTAAATCTCAAAATATGTTCATGCTCCAGGTAATACAATTTAGTGTCTTCACACATCAAATGTGTTGTGCGTTTTGACAGTTTAGGCACATTTTAATGATTTCAGATTTCATGGTTTTATTATAAAACAGCTTATACACACCAAACTCAAACAGTCTTTTTTATTTAAAAATCCACCTCAAAATTCACTTCTGAGTTTTAGTTTTTGTTTAAAAATAAGTGAAACGTTTAAAAGCATCAAATATTACTGGTCTACAATTCATCTTGTTATGAACATTTTTAGTGTGTGGACTGGGGAAATACACCATTACATTGATTAGGCACAGTACTATGGCCAACAGGCCAGGAATCAGGGCACATCCGTGTACTCAGGCAACAACTGGAGGTCAGAACGGAGGGCACGCTTCAGCTCTGCGCACTCTTACCTTTGCATCCCCTCCAGAACTGTTAGTAAGTCTTAAATCAACACATAAGAGATTGTATACAACTTAGTTTAAAAAACAAACAATTATACCTGCTTCCTAAATTACACTGCAAAGGCGAGACGATGAATACAAATTGTAGCCTCACCGTAATTTGTGGTCTTGATATCCACGTCATAGGACCATGTTACAGGTGGGATAGAATTATAAGATTCCTACGGTGGTTTTGGAAATCGGGTTGGAAGGGGTCCATGACTGTAAGATTTCACATTATTGCAAGACTCCAACAATTCTTGAATTGGGGCAGTGAATATGAATCACAGTACAAAATCTTTAATTCTTTTACTAGAAAAGCCAACAGGTGCTACATATGAGAATCACTTATACAACATCTATTTTTTTTAAATGCAGATATAAAATTTTAATTGCATAGGGATTTAAATATAAGGCCAAGAAGGATATTAAGTAAAAAAAGGAAAAAAAAGAAAAAAAAATTCATACAAAGGGCACTATGGTGTCAAAAGATAGAATTTTCATTCTTAGAGTAATAAGTCTGAATTACTGTCTAATTAAAAATCACAGTATGTTGCTATAACTAACAGTGAATGTCAACTGTTCCATTAATTCCAACCTGGAAACCAATATTAGGACTAACAAAAACAAAACTAACGCTCATTGTCTAAACCTGATCAGTGTATTAGCACATCAGTGCCTGGTACGTACCTGATTAGTTATATAATCTACCTTTTGTAAATAATGTAAAGTTTAATACGCGTTAACAAGTGTGAGAGCACATCGTCACTGCATGCCATCAGTGATCTGCAGGCTTACTTGATAATTTTTATTATTCAGTCTTTAAAGAGTGCAAGATCCCACCCGGCAGAATCTTCACCCAATGAACCCAAACACTGTAATTAACAAAATACAATAAAATTCCACCATTAACAACTAAATGTACATGAGTCAGAGAGCGAGGTCCTGAAACCAGTACATACCTCATCATCAGCAGTTTGGAAGGCAATGAATGATGAGCCCAACTATACTCTCTATTTTAAGCTAATGGTTACCACCTGAAGTTTCAGGTAGACAGTTAAATTGTGAATCCACTTCTCATTTTAACGTTGTTAAATTGTAGTTTAAACAGCAACTTCCAAATCTAAAAGTAGCTTAATTAACTTAGTATTGTTATATAGAGTAGTGTGAGGAAAAACAAGAACTCCCAAAGGAATTACGTTAAGGTACATTTGGGAATACCCAAACCAATGTTTTAAATGAAAAAGTGCATAAATACAGTAATACTACAAGTATGTTAACTGTGGAACAAGTGGTGTCTGGGAGCTGAACAATACTATTTTCCCACATTATTTACATGTTTTGAATTGTTCTGATACCACAAAGCACCATTTAGGGTCTAAATCACTTGATTATGTCTGAAAGGTCCTTTGACTTCAACCCTACTCATCTGAGGATCTCCTAAAGTAGAAGAGTCAAGTTATCTTCAGTCAAACACTGCTGTGACTATGGTTCTGCTCTCGGGATTTATCTTTACAATTCAGTTCTCATTTGTTCAAACACGGCAACAGAGCATTTTCATTTCACACTCTTGGTGGGTGTTTCAGATTCTGTGGACTGTCTCCCATCAGTCCAGGCTTCCCGGGTGCTCTTTAGTGCCAGGGTCTTCTGCTGGTCAACCACAACATAATCCACCCTCTCATCTGCTACACTGCTGCCTGAACCACTGTTCTTTTGCTAAAAAGCAAAGAAAAAATATATATATATAAAGTCTCACATATAAAGGAATGCTTCTGAGTCAAAACCAGTCTTAAAACACAGACATACAAACACGCACACAAACTGCAAATGATCTCGAAATTCTATTGGGTCACACAAAAAGTAACATTACCTCAATTTAACAATGTTGTCTCTAACTCTACAATATTTTTCCTTAAATTTAAAATTATTTACATATCAGAATTCAAATTAATGCTCTCATCTCAGATGAAATTCATATAAAATAGGGACAGCATACAACCAGTTCATCTTAATTAAAATATACAGCTTGCTTCTCCCTCTAGGCTTTAGGGTAAGTTTGACTTTTCAAGCTCTGAGAACATTTATCAGCATTTACTTTCAGAGCTTAGAAATGTTGTTTAAAACTACATAGCCTGATGCGTCCTCTTCCTCCTAAAAGACAGCTAGATTTTAGCCAACAAATATAATTATTAAAGCATTGCTGGACTCACTAGAAGGAGCCACGGTAGTGCAGTGGTTAAAGTGCTCAGCAGCTAACTGAAAGGTAGGCAGTTTGAATCCACTAGCCACCCTGCAGGGGAAAGATGTGACAGTCTGCCTTCCATAAAGACTTACAGCCTTGAAAACCCACTTAGGGGTTCCCACTCTGTCCTATAGGGTCGCTATGAGCTGGAATTGGCTCGACTGCAATGCACCTGGTTTTTCGTCTGGTTTGGACTCACTGGAGAGCAAGGGAAATACCCAAGGATATTTGTTTAGTGAGTTAGAGGTAACTCACTAGAAAGTCAGGGACACAGCAGAAGCAGTTAAGTTTCTAAATGGTAAAGGCAGGGCTGTCTTTAGGATAAATGTCCATCTCAGCAATGCAATCAAGAGACGAAGCCTCGGCACCCTGGGTAGGAGGGCATGCTGAACCTGGAGAACTTCCTGTTAAGATTAGGACCCCTGAAGGGGGCTGAAGTGGTCCTAGGGTGGTAGCACCTCCTGGTTCCTAGAAGAAGAATGCAAATCCTTTTTGGAGAAAAGTGAGGTCCTCAGGATTTCCAGAGATATGTTCAGCAAAATGAATACACAATAAACATTTATAAACTACACAAGGAAATAAGCCACTAAGAATGTGAGTTAGTAGAATCTATAAACAGAGATTCAGATCCCCAAGATTCATATATTAAAGTTTTTTTTTTAATTGTGCTTTATGTGAAAGTTTACAGCTCGTTTAATTTCTCATTCAAAAATTTATACACGTATTGTTATGTGACATTAGTTGCCATCCCCACAATGTGACTGCACACTCCCCCTTGCCACTCTGGGTTCCCTGTGTCCATTCGACCAGTTCCTGTCCCTTACTGCCTTCTCATCCTGCTTTCGGACAGGAGCTGCCCGTTTGGTCTTGTATACCTGATTAAACTAAGAAGCACGTTCCTCACGTATGTATTTTTTGTTTTATAGTCCTGTCTAACCTTTGAAGAGTGGCCTTCGAGAATGGTTTCAGTTCTGGGTTAACAGAGCATCCGGGGGCTGTGGTTTCGGCAGATATTAAAGTTATGGCATACATAGTATAATACACACACACACATACACACACACACATACAGAGTTCAGAATTTGTCGAGTAAGCATTTCAATGGTAATCATTACAAAAGTAGAAAGTATTTAACTTCCATACCATTAGAAAGGAAAAAATAAATTTATCAGTCTTCATAGCTTTGTTACTTGTGATTTATCAAATAGCATTAAATCACAGACTACTAAATTTAAACTAAACATAACTAAGATATAATATTTCAGACTTAAAATGTGAGCTAATTGTACTTACAGAATGAGGTTCACTTACCTTACGTGGTGGTGTGGATTTTCCAGAATCTAAATCTAAATCTAGGTATTCCACTTGTTTGTCTCCTTTGGGTTTTACCATAGGGCTGCTCCCTCCATCGAGACTATTACTGCCAAAAAGATTCTGAAATAATACCGAAAAATCAATTGTCGAACATTCATGAGATAAGCTGCTCATCTTGTAGGCCATCTACTAAAGCTTAAATGTTTATGTTCAGGAGGACATAACTTGAACAAATGTCTGACTAGAAAATTAAATAACCTTGTAGGACTGGGGGGAAATAATATTAAAAAAAAAAACTGATTAAAACTTTTCTTAGAGCAAGCTAAATGTAGTTTCAAAAGCTTGGTTCGAAATAAGATTGGGACATCAAGCTACAGTTAGTTGTGACAGCTCAACCTGAACATTATTAAATATTAAATATTACATCTATACTCAATTATATTCTTAACTACAAGATCCATGCCATATACTCCTTGTTACTGAATTAAATTTAGTAAGAACCTTTTATATTTCATTTAAACGCTAAAATCAGTTTACAAGCAGTATGTGAAATAAAAGTTATGAACAATGACTACTGGCAAAGCCTATTTTGTTTCAACCATCTGGAATTTCTACCACTTCATTTCCTGTCTTCTCTTAGCCTGACCCTCTCCCTCCTAATAGATAATGTACAATAGGAAGACTCCTCTATAGTCCTGGACACCCTTATAGCTCAGTAATGAAGTCACTCCTGAGGTTCACCCTTCAGCCAAAGATTAGACAGGCCCATGAAACAAAACGAGACTAAATGGGCCCATCAACCCGGGGCAAGGACGAGAAGGCAGGAGGGGACAGGAAAGCTGGTGATTGGGTACCCAAGGTTGAGAAGAGGAGGGAGAGTGTTGACATGTCATGGGGTTGGCAACCAATGACACAAAACAATATGTGTATTAATTGTTTAATGAGAAACTAGTTTGCTCTGTAAACCTTCATCTAAAGTACATTTAAAAACAAAGGACCCCTCTAAAAAAGGAGATCAAGAAAAAAGGAAGACAGAGGACAGCAATAAACAACAAGAACAAACATGCTTGAGGTGGAAAACTGAGAAATAAGCTAACAGGAACTTGAAGACCAAAGCCAAATAAAAATGAAAGGATGACATGGATTTACGAACCTACAAACACCCTCTACTCTAAGACAGTCTTCTAAATGGGCTCCAACAAATGACTTGTCATGCCTTGCTGCTTTTAGCCCCATCTAGAAATGTTCCTGATTCCTTATAGGCAACACATTATACTCTTAGGGAGTCTCATCCTTGTGCCCTCTTATCATGTTGATTTTATTGTTCACATAGCATCTCAGATACTTTTGAAGAAAATCACAATGAGGTTAATAAATTAAAAAAATTAATTTAAAAACTGTGTTGAATCTGGTTCTGTTATATTGCTACTCCACTTCTTTTTGCTTCAGTTAAACAGGGTAAGCTGTGTTTTGGGAAAAGCCATTTGCTAGAAAAAGACTGAGTCTATTCCCTTATTTGGTGGCAGGGTTGCTGCCAGCCCATATGAAACCCTTTGTGAATTAGATAAAGATGCTCCTTCCTCCGGGAAGACACGGCTCTGTGAGTGGGATACAGCCTGGATTTCAAGGACCCAACTACTCTTAGGAAGTAAACCACCTGCCAAATGAATTATGGCACTATTTGGAGGAACAGATTTTAAAAACCATATTCAACTACTGCTATTAGAACATTTAAAAAATACATTGATGAGACTATGCAGGACACAAAAAATGTAAGCAAATTTGGTGCTCAATCAGTACAAATTCCATTCACCTCTCTTTCTCTTTGACCTAATTTTAAAAAAATGAAGAAACTGAAATCATCAAGAATTTTTTTCTCCAAATGACTCCATATCTTGTTCTTATATAAAAAGTCATGCAATCATGTATGTGTGTATGTGTTCAAGTAAAATTCTGTACACAATGAAAACCGACCCCTGCATTTCCCTGTCTGGAAATGCTTAGAAGTATTCATAGCGTTACAAAGTTAAAAAAAGGAAGTCAGGACTTCATGCAGCCTATGCACTTAATCCCAATAAATTGTTCATAAAGAATTTCCAAGTATTTCTAGTTAAGCTGCTTGATGTCTAATTATTACTGGAATCGGAAATTTTTTCATCTTTAAGTACTGTTAAATTTTGTGTGTCTACAATGAAGTCTGTTGGCGCTTGATCTCATCTCAAATGGGAACAGCTTGTCTCTGTGTTCTAGCCTTTCACCCAGTGTTTTCCCAAGAGTTTACAGAAATTGTAAGATTCTAGGAGCTCTAATAAGTATTCTGTGAATAAAACAAAAAACAAAAAACACTAGTGCTATGTTTGCTGAAATTCTAAAAAAACTACGTAAAATTATTGAACATGTTTTTGTTATTATACAACAGTATTTACGTCTTTGGCAGTGGTGCACCATCACTTGGACTTCAGGGAACTGATTAAAGTTCACCTGATGAATGCATGACTTCTGACCTTTGTACAAATGAACAAGAAGCATCATCAACCCACTCTTCCACAATACAGTACCTACTCCATAATCACTAGTCTAGGAAATGTACCATGCCTCAAAATTTTAATTTATAGAATTTAATATTCATTGCATGTATAAATCAGATTTGATCAGATCTTAACTTCTCTAAGGCTTATTTTTTTAACTGACTTCATCAATCCAACCACCTACCAGACGATGTTAACTTCCACTGTATTCCATCAATACGTTAAGTCCCTAAATTAAAGAAGTTTAGGAAATATTGCTATAACCATCATATTCTTTGCTAAGAAAGAGTTGTGTGGGCTATGATGAGTCTCTGTAGCTGGCAGCACGCGGAGATAGGAGTGGCACAGTGGAATTTTCGCATGTGCATAGTAGGTGGATATTTTCACCTGGGTCATTTTTGCTTATTTCTAAAACCCAGTACTTAAGTACTTCAGAAATTCATCAGATCATGGTTATTCAGATCCCACTAATGGAGCCCTGGTGGCGCAGGGGTTAAGAGTTTGGCTGCTAACCCAAAGGTCGGCAGTTTGAACCCATCATCAGCTCCACGGGAGAAAAGACCTGGAGATCTGCTCTCATAAAGATCACAGTCAAGGAAACCCTACGGGGCAGTTCTACTCTGTCATACAGGGTCACTATGAGTCGGAATCAACTCAATGGCACACAACAACAACAAGTACCTCTCTGGCTTTTTTGTGAAAATTTTATTTTTATTTCCTCAGACTTTCTGGTTGTGATGTTTTTCCTTTTAGTCTTTTCCCTTCACCTAAACACTTATCCATGACAAATCACACTTTCAAACTTTCCTATTACATGTTCTCCCCAAGATTTTCATGGTATTTACTATTGCTGACAAAAGGATAGACTCTGTAGTATCTCAGAAAATACCGTGATTATTTTTGTAGTAAGAGAAAAGTTCATTCAACTACCTAAAGATGAAAATTGGTGACAACAACTTCTCTGACACAGTATTTAGGATTTACATAGACTCTTACTAGAGTCCACTCACTATAATGAAGAAAAAAAAAGTTAATAAAAATAATAAAACACCAAAAGCAAAAATCAGTTAATAAAAATTGCCCTGCCTTGGAAAATCAATGACAACATTATAGATACAGTTGGTTGTATTCTAATTCAATGCTGATATATTTTAAATTACATTATTCAAGCTTTTCATATCACTTAATTTTGTTTTTGTTCCCTGACAACATATAGTTGTGAGGAACCTGTGTTTGCCTAGAGTCTATGAAAGATGAAAAACAAATTCATTGATAGAACTGAGTTTTATTTGAATCTCCAAATAGAATTGTTTTAATGAAAGCCACTAAAATGCTACTCATTCCAAATTTTGACATTAGGTATTTGTTTATTCTGGCAGATACTGCCTGGTTGTCCCTCAGTACCTGCTCTCCCCTCTTTCATGTGAATGGGATTTTTGGCTGGGCCTACTGCCCCTCAGAACAAAGACTATTTATTTCTCAGTCCCTTTTGCGTCTAAGTGTGGTCACACAGACTAAGTTCTGATCAATGGTCTATCTAAGGCAGCTTCTGGGAACCTTTTCTATGAGGCAGTTAAGCTGCACCCTGTGCCACTGCTTCTCCCTTCCCTCCATTCTGCAGCTTGGAAAGTGAATCTGCAGGCTGGCGCATTCTTTTGTATTATGACCATGCGGGCCATACCCAAGGGGATGGCAGATTGGAGAGTTGCAAGAAGCGGGAATCTCAGAGGACTTTGTATAACAAAGCTGCCACAACAACCCTGGATAGTCACTCTCTCTGGACTTTTACAAGAGAAAGAAAGGGACTTTTACAAGAGAAAGAAAGAAACTTCTGTCTTAAGTTACTGTTATTTATTTTCTGTTACAGCTGAACTTAATCCTAACTGATAAACACTTATCTGCTAACAAACAGGGCAAGCATTAGAGCTGATTAAAAGAAAAGCAAAAGCAAAATAATAAAAAAAATAAAATTGGTTTGTACTGTTAAACATCTGAAGTGTTTTCTGGCAACACCTTATTTCTGGAGAAGATGTTTCCTACTATTACTAATGTTTCCGACTATTACTAAAATACTCGTGGTAATACAGCCAACCCTGAAACAAATTATGTTTCTAACTAGGTCTTCTTTAATTTTTAAGCCTTATCTAAGGGTGTATTATCAAAGGATTATCCAAAGACCTTCTGTATAAGACTAGTTCATCATAAGCGTGCCATGACACAGGGCTGAAGAGTTGCATTATAAAGTGCTTCCAGTAGAGTATTTTCTCAAATAGTATCAAAGATCAAGTACATCTTGAAAGAAATGTAACTGGAAAACTTTTATGATATTTAACTAATTTACATCTAGTTTAAAGATATTATAATTTGACCCTTTATTGGTTTTAGACTTTACAATGCTATTTTTAAAAAGCATTTAAAAAAATTGCCTTTTATCCTTTTTCCTTAAATACATAAAGAAAGATGTAAGGGTAAGACTTATAGACTAGAAGATAGGATCTAGCTTGAATGCTTTAACAGAGCTGCTCAGGAAGAGAGAAGTGAAGATGAAGACTTTACGTACAGGGTCTTCACTGGACAGGTTCGGGTTCATGGGAACATAATTCTCTTCACTGTCGTGTGAGTCACTGCTTGAAGTTGTGCTATGCACAGAATCTGGTCGTGGGGACATGGGAAACCTAGAGGAGCTAATTACCAGAAATTATCATTACAAACATAAACCTTGATGAAAATTTCTACATCGCTTCCAAAATAAAAATATGCGTGACAGTTAACATTCTTTCCAAAAAAACTCATTTATGCTTACAACTATTTATTGTAACACAACTTGTTGTACACATTCAAATGCATAACTGATATTTACAGCTATATTACAAAAGCACATTCTTGACATCAATTGATCTTGTGTAAAACAAACAAGCAAAAAGTATGACTAGTGACTTGGGGATAAGTAGAAGTTACAAATAAAAGAAGATTTAAGAATCCTGTTTTTTTCTAAAACTAGCTGCATGTATACATAAAATGTGAACACTTACACACATATTCAAAACATGTTTGCAACTTCATGTATCAATCTAATTTCCCTACATATACTTAAATAAAATTGTATCAAATAATCTTGCTTTCCAAATTTTTAACTTACCTCCCCCATCCCCACAACACATACAAGAAACCACCATGTTTCCTAGATCAGCGGTTCTCAAAAATTTATGGTCTCACAAACCGTTTATACTCTTAAAAATGACTGAGAACCCCAAGGAACTTTTGTTTATATTGGCTATATATCTATTGATATTTACCATATTAGAAATTAAAATAGAAATTTGTGAAACATAAAAGCAAGTACACATCCTATTAGCCATCACAATGGAGACGTCATCACACTTACGTAGTCTCTGGAAAACTCCACTGTACACTTGTGAGAGACTGAGAATGGAACATGCAAATAACATCTTGGTATCTTAACGAAAATACTTTCGACTTCATGGAACCCTGAAAAGCAATGCTCCCCAGACCATCCTTTGAAAACTACTGTTCCAGATATTTTCCATAACAATGGACAATTCTAGATATTCAAGTTATTCAAACAAACTACGTATTTTAAACAAAGACTTACTCTCGAGCAAAACTCCTAGTGATGGGAGATCTAACTGGAGCTTGTAATTCTTCCCATTCTGGCAAAGGTTTTATTTCTAAAGGTGCTGGCTTGACTGTATGGAAGAGAGGCAGAGAGAGATTTTAGTGTACAGAACGTTGGAAAATAAATAATCCTCTCCCCGTATCTATACTCTATAGTCAGATACACCTAAGACCAGCTAGTTCAATGACCTCATTTCACATGTGAAACAAGGCTCATGGAGGTTACATGATTCGCCTGAGGTCAAACAGCTAAATAATATTGCCAAAAGTAAATCAAATAATGATTCATGACTGCCGCCCCCAAGTCTAAAGCTCTACTACAATATCATATTTCTTAATTTAAGTAAATATTTTATGACTGTAAACCAAATGAAAACAAGAACAAGTAATGGGAAACAGTTCCTTGATTTACACTTCTCATTATTCATTAATTCATTTTTTCATTAACTTTATCCTTAAATATGGAGATTTAATCTTAGATGTAAAAACATTCCTATTCTTTAATATTGAAGCATCAGTTATACAATTACACATAAAATATTAAAAACAAAAAAGTTGTGCTAAAATCCAATACCAAAAAAATTCAAATCTTTTAAAATAATTTATGCTCAGTACAGAAATAAAAAAAACCTAAAACAATAATTTCATCTTTAGACTCAAACTCTGCTCTGAGAAAATTAAACAATTACCTTAAAAATTTAGCTTAATTTAACAAATAATTTCATTTGCCAAATTAAATAAAATTAAATATTTTTATTAGCTGTATTTATAAGTGGTCTTTACTTACTTACCTCATTATTACAGTAGATAATTATTATACTAGTACATACCACAGAGTTCTCAGTTCTTAATGTCAAGACTGAAACATTTTTCAGAAGTTTATAAAGTGAGCAAAAGAATTACTATTTGTTAATTTTAATTATATTTTAGGAAATCATTTAAACATAGTAGGTAAATATTTTAGTTGTATTTCATCCCACATTCTAAAGAAAATTTTTCATTTTTCCAGGTTCCCTTCTAGACTTTGTCCATATATGTATAAATTGTAATCAACTATGTTATAATTACCACCAAATGATAAAATAGGTGGTCATTTTAAAGGCCTACACAGATTCACTGAGGCTTATAACTAAGTTATTTCTGTTAACTCAAATACAAAAACTCAATAAAATTTTCTGAAGACCAAATTGATTTATTAAATTAATTTTGCTCATCGATATACTGAAAATGAATATGTAGCAAATAATGTCTTGACTAAAAGCATTTCTCTAACTCTTTTAATTTTTTTTTTTTTTTTGAAACCTAAAGGGTAATAACAGCTTAGCTGTCAAATTCTAAGTAATGGCATAAAATAATTCATGGAAGTGAGTCTGTATTCTGTCTCAGAATAGAATACAAACATTATATACAAAAATAAGGACAGAAGACAACTGGAACTCACAAGCAGCTTATAAGCTTAAAGAAAACAATATTGATATCTAAAAATTTAAAGGAATACTGCAAAAGGACAAGACTGAATATGACACATAATTGAATTTTTAACATGCTGTTGTTAATGACATTACAAGGAAACTCACTATATTATGGGAAGCATTCACTTTAGAAATAACATGCTGGGAAGCTTTATTTACAACAGCAGTATCCTTCTCCTTTACTTTTTAAGAAAAAACATTACAAAATAAAATAAATTCCCAGTGTCCCATACAGCATGCGGTGCTAAAGTACATACCCTTTCTTCTTGTAGCAAAGTCACCTATGGTTTGTGAATCAGTTCGCTCTAAACCATGGGGTTTGGGTCTTAAAATTTTAGGACTTTGACCTAATTGGTAAAAAGAAGACTTTCTTAATATGTTATTTTTTAATTGAAAAAATGGATTCTGTAAAAAAGCAACAGAGCCCTGTGCAGAAATGTTACATCTTAAAAGCATAAATAAAAGTTTGTTTGTGGAGAATTTTTCAACCTTCCCATATACCATTCATGCTCAGCACAATGGAAAGGAGGACATTGCATGCAACAATGCAATAAGCAAAGTGTTATAAAAGGTGGTAGGTTTTTAGTGGGATAACTAGCAGGGTTAGTTGTTATCTTTATTTCAAGGGAGGGAGGAAAAACACGTGCCATGTTAGCTTTTCTTCTAACATGTCATAGAAAATGGAATCAAATCATATAAAATAATAAAATCTTTCCACCAGATAGCCAATATACCTTTTCTTTGAAGTTTGGTGTCTCATAAAAAAGCAATAAGGTCTACTTCCCTATATTACTTTCCTAATCTGGTAGAGATGTTTTAAAAACCTTAATCTGTCTGCTCCTAAATCTCCTAACCAAAATCTTTTCAGAGAAACACGTGGACAATACGATATTTGCTAATCCAAGACCAAAACCAAGAACAACATTTACTTGTTTCCACTGGATACGCAGTGGCTTGCCCGGTGACATCATGTGGCAAGGATGAGGTATCTAGATTCTGGCACTGCTGATTGTTTAGCTTCAATTTAAGTACTTAAAAGCATAAATTCAGTTGTTATCATTTTCCTTTCATTTAATCTCTGCCACATATAAGTACAGCTAAAAACCCTAGGAAAAGGTCTGGGTTGACAACCAGCAGTTGGCCTCATAACTTTTCCCGCAGAAGTTCTGATGTCAGAGTAGCAATATCATCTGAATCAGTAAACTAAACTACCCTATCATTAACGGCAGGTGCCCTGGTGGCACGATGGTTAAAGTGCTTGGCTGCAAACCAAAGGGTCAGAGGTCTGTGGTTCCACAGGAGAAAAGACCTGGTGATCTGCTCCTGTAAAGGAAACCCTATGGGGCAGTTCTACTCTGTTCTATAGGGTCGCTATGAGTAGGAATCGACTCAATAGCACCCGACAACGACAAGATTCTTAATGGCATCAAAGTATCTTTTTTCTTGACATTTACAAAGTTTGAGTCGACACCTACTAGATGGCAAAACCAGAATTTGCTGGTTAAATGCTGCTATCTAGCACCTTATCTACCAAAACCTAAAAGTTTCTTAAAATGTGATTTTTCTAAGGTTATTAAAAAAACCAGAATTCTCTCATTTACCAGTTTCCTTAGTTGGACAATTAATAAATTGAGATTATTCAGAAGTGAGGCAAGCCTAGTATAATTCTGGGCCATGACCCCTAACACTTGACCTATCCAGAGCCCACCCTGGCAGTGCGCTGTTTCTAAAACAAGAGGTCAGCTTTTTAAAACTTCCCCAGTGTACTACCATTCTAAAAATAGCAGGCAGAGGGGAGTTTTACTATGAGAAAAATACAATTATTTTAGAGCTCAAAGACCCTTGAAGATCAAATCCAGCCTCCTCATTTTCTGGGTGAGCTACTCCCAGAGAAACAAAGAGGTGAAGTGACTTGCTCAGGTCACAGGCTTACTCAGAGGCAGACCTAAGGTTTCCTCCAGCCTCCTGCCAGCTGGGAGGTACTCTGTATCCCTTGCCTCCCTACCCCTTTTGGGAAACAGAGATTCTTAGGAAACTGAGCATTTAGCATAGGAATGTTTGTCTATTTTTAGTCTCCAGTTTTGAGATCTTATAAGCATTCTCTGCTGTAAGTCACAAACTAAGAAACATAACTAGAGAAAAGAAATGCACTTGTTACACCCCATGTGTAGCTGATATTACTCTGAACATCTGGATGTGGTCTGGGGCACTGCATCGACTTGACTGCCACAAATGGTTGATAAGTAGCTGATGTTATGATTAGCGATTACAAAATGCATTTACAACTACTTTCGGTTTGTTGGTATTTATCCAGTGTGTCCTAGCCCAACTCTTTTTTTGAAAGACCCACTTCTATTAGATCTCCAGCAAAATTCTCCTAATTTTTCATTGTAGGTTTCTCCCAATAGTCACTTTTTGCATTTCTCAACTTTGTAGGTCCTCAGTATCTTATCTACGTTTGTAGTTAAATAATCAAGGTCACATGACTGCTAAATCTACCTACTTATGGTTTCTCTTTTTTTCTCTAGTTTCATATTTCCAGCTGCCTGACAGATTACCTCCAATAAGTGAAATAAAACTGATCATGTCTCCTCCAAACCAATGCCATTTCTCACCTTCAACAGCCTCAGCAATACCACTATTTCCTGGATCCTTAGGTACAAAACCTCCAGGGTATACTATAATAGTCTACCTCCTTTGATCAACTGCATTTGGTCTTCAAATGCTAATGATTTGCCATGATGGCAACAAAAAAAGCTTTGAAAATAAGAAGCACTACAATGAAAGGATCAGATCATCAAGGTCAATAAGAAGGCTGTCTATGCCTGTATGAATACGAGCTAGACAACTACAGTCCAGAATGATCAGAGACTTATGAAAAATAACAAAGGAAGCTCTTTTAAAACCTATGCTCTGAGGAAGAAAAACAATGCAAGAAGAAACATACTGTTTGGGAAGGTAGAGAGAGTAATCGTAATAGATAACCAAGAGAAACTCAACTCTCACTCTTGCTTTAGTCTTCTCCATCTAATCTAGGAGAATGCTCTGCAGACTGAAAGGACAGAAGAAATAACAATGAGAGGCAATTAAAGGCCAGGTTATGTGAAATGAGCACAAAGTGGTACCAGGTAATTTCAAATTTCTATTCAATGAATTACAATTCAAGACACTGAATGATGTTACAGACATAAACAGAGAATCTCTATTGGTAATTTAGAGAAGTCACGGAGAATATGGAAGGTGCCACAAGACTAAGCTACAGATGCTTTTGCTTTTTTACATCATGCTCTTCTGAACTGTCCTTTGCTCTAGCTAGACCATCCTCTTATCTGTTTTCCATGTACAACTTTTTAGGGAGCCCTGGTGGCACAATGGTTAAGCGCTTGGTTGCTAACTGAAAGGCTGGCAGTTTGAATGCCCCAGCTACTCTGCAGGAGAAAAGGCCTGGTGATCTGCTCCTGTGAAGATTTATAACCTATGAAACCCTATACAACGTTTCTACTTGTCATATAGGGTTGCTATGAGCTGGAATTGACTTGCTGGCATACAACAGCAACATGCCTTTTTTTTTTTTTCCCTCTATTCTTTCCCTGTCAATATCCATCATTTCTTCACTAACCAATACCTATAATTTCTACACAAAGCTCAAGCTGTAATACATTCTCTAAAACTTTCTTGAGAAATACCATTACACTTAGATTACTGATTAATAATTACCATTGACTGAGGGCTTATTACGTGCTAGGCATTCTAGTAACTCATTTAATCCTAACAACAACCTGGTGAGGGAGGTACAATTAAAACAGACTTTAATATACCCATATCCTTATTCCTACCTAGAATCCTTGTTGTAGTGATTCTCAGCAGAGTATTTCCATTGTTCTGCTTTTGCTTTTGTGTACTGTTTAAGTTGTCCCAACCAAATTTAAGTACTTCAAACTGGGAGATAAAGATCTTTTACCTTGCCCCATCCTACATAATAAAGTGACAGGCATAGCGCAAGCCCTCAGAAAAGCTTCACTGAATTATGTAAGTAGATACGCAAACTCGTTACATTTCCCTGAAGGCTTTACTGTCATGACTGGTGTTTTAATTATCTATTGCTGCTATAACAGAAATACCACAAGTGGATGATTTTGGCAAACAGAAATTTATTCTCTCACAATTGAGGAGGCTAGAAGTCCAAAATCAAGGGTGTTGGCTCTAAAGGAAGGCTCTTTGTCTCTATCAGCTCAGGAGGAAGATCATTGTCATCAATCTTTCCCTGGGTCTAGGAGTTTCTCAGCACAGGAATCCTGGGTCCAAAGGATGCACTTTGCTCCTGGCTCTTCTTTCTTGATGGTATGAGGTCCCTCTCCTCTCTGCTCAATTCTCTCTTTCATATCTCAAAAGAGATTGACTCAAGATACAACCTAATCCTGCAGATTGAGTCCTGCCTCATTAACATAACTGCCTCTAATCCTGCTTCATTAATATCATAGAGGTTAGAATTTACACCACATAGGAAAATTACAACAGATCATAAAATGGTGGAACACCACACAGTACTGGGAATTACGGCCTAGCCAAGTAGGCAAACATTTTTGGGGGACACAATTTATTCCATAATAACTGGTACTTTCTTGTTCATCACAATAAAAACAAAATGTAAAACGTGATTGTGAGATGCATACAATGTGAAGTAAATAATTTTCAAAGAAGTCACATGATCTAAGGAGACACATATGAGCCAAAAGTAGATGTAAGAACCAGTGGGTCAGATATTACTTTCCCTAGTAAGTCTTCCTCTCAAATTCTTCCTTATCTCCATTATCTTCTTCCAAGATACTGAAGTGCCCCCTTGGTTTTCTTCATAGAAAAATACAATACTAATATGATATCAATTATATTAAACAAGACTTTTAAAGTGTATTTATAATATTTACATGTATTTTCAACTCCAAGCAAAGCTTAAGGTTGATTTTACAGCCAAAGTCACAGCACAGAAATACTGCACTGAAATATACTGTGTTGCCTAGGCCATTTGTTAGCTTTATTTCTTTATGTCCTTCTAAACTCAATTCAGCATTTATGTTCCAGACAGAAATGAAAGTCATACTAAAACAATAGTCCAATACGACTTACGAGGAAAAAAAGAAAAAGAAATTCAAAGTGTAAGTAGGATTGTCCCAGCCTTGCTTGCTCCTCCACTACTGAATGCAACTACTTGAATGCTTTTCTGATTGTTGAAAAGAGTGAAAATGAAACAGTAGGAGACAAGAATACTAAAGTAAAAGCCAAAACGAACCTAAAATGATTCTCAGAGTAAACAGAAAAATTCATTTGAGTCTCACCCTTTAAATCTTAG